AAGATTAAAGGTGACCTGGAACCATAAGCTATACCAACCCAAGCCATAACTCCAACAGTGTGATGAACATGTCTTTCAACAAAAAACTGTGGATTCCTCCTTTCACCACGTCGCCTTCTAACCCTGGCACGACCATCGTGCACGCCTAAACAAAATCGAGACTCGTCATTAAAGACAATACTGTTCCATTCCTGATCCCAGAGTGACCGTTGTCTGCACCACTCAAGGCGATTACGTCGGTGTTCTCGAGTTAAAGGGAGGACCCAGTGTGGCCGGTATGAAAACAAGCCAAAACTTCTGATTCGTCGGTAAACACTTCGCATGCCAATAGGTCTTCCGTGTTCTGCAAACCATTCATTTGCAATGGACCTGGTAGTGGAGAAACGGTCCCTTAAGGCCAATAATCTTAGGCGGCAATCTTCACGGTCTGTTATTCTACGGCGGCGTCCAGTGCCCGTTGCTCTTTGCGTACGGCCTTCTCGAAGCCATGCCTGACAACACCTAACCACAGTGTCTACACTTCTTTGCACTCTAACTGCAATTGCCCGAAAAGAAAGTCCAGCTTCCCAAAGTCCCACTATACGGCCCCTATCAAACTCACTAAGTTGACGAAATCGTACAGGTCCCCGTACTCTAGGCATCGTAACCGATCGTAAAGGATGTCAAGAACCAAAATCCGCCAACGTTGATTCTTTACTGCGGCTGAAATATTCATTTTTAGAGCGTTAGTGAATTAAAAAAAAAGCAGTATAAAAACCGGAATGTCCAACTGATAAGGCTGAAAACTTTTTCACTTGTTATTTACAGTAAGATAAATATATTCACCAACTTTTATTAAAATAAAACCATTTAAACTGGGTGTTCGGATTTATATGTCACTTAGTATATTTCCATATGCAAAATTTAAAAGACATCCCTCGTACACCTTCATGCACCAGCAATTCATTCAATTCTGCATGATCATATACACGTAAGGAAACTTTGTTCTCCCTGGTGGTGCCGGAAGATGCTGAAAATGTTTGATAAGTGGCAATCTCGGTATGTGAACAGCATCGTGATAGGTGACGAGACTTGACTCTATTATTACGATGTGCCGACCAAGGCTCAAAACAAAGTTTGTTTGTTAAGAAAAAATGATTGATGAACTGTATTTTTCAAATCGTGCGGGATTGTGGAGCGTGTCACTTAGGACACACAGAAGACACATGCCTGAATCTTGACCTTACAGAGATGGCACCGCTGGGAGTTACAAGGAGACTATGTTGGAAAATAAACAAAAAAGTTCAACAGAAATGTCTTGTATCCTTCTTAGGTCGGGAACTTTTCAGACCGCCCTCGTATACCTGGGTTTCCTCTACATTACATTAACATATTGTGCAAAAAATATCTTGCAAACTATTTGGATTATATATTAACAGCAACAAAAACAGAATACTTACCTATCTAACCGTACCAATCGATTATAAACGGTGGTATACCATTGCAGAAATTCATTATTATTTATCTTAGTAATGCAAATGGCTTTTGAAAAATGACGACAGTATACATAGATAAAACGTGCAGTTATAAAAAAACCATTCAGCTCTACACAGATTCCATTTTGCAGATAAGTAGTAGTGGTTTTGCTATTACTGCTATATTTTTCTGCATCGTTTAACTCTATCTGTTTTTAAACACGAATAGGAAAGTTAGCATTCCATGAAGAAATTTGCTATTACGTGACATTAGATTATATAGCCATCATTTAGTTTTCAGTTCAGCCAGCCTTCTACACAGACGCCAAAATGTAGTGCAATCGATGCTTTTTGCCCATGAAAATGTTTAGTTGTACTTTTACTGTCAAGTTCGCACGACCTCCAAATATTGGCATCGGAACGATTTGTCACGTTCGATAACTTAATTGATCTAACTAGAGGATTTTAGTTGGTTTAATTTTATTTGCTACCTTATTTTAGTTTACGCATCCGTTCTAGCTTCAATATTGTTCCTTCGTGATTATTCTCGTGGGGTAAGTCTAGGGATGGCGCTGTGCAAATAGAAGGTAGTGGACAGAAATGTGTTAATTTGAATTGTGTATCTTCAGCTTCACAAATAATGTGGGGTTATAATAATTTAAGACAGATATCAGTGCATAACCAAATGGTTCCAAGACCAAAGTAGGTGTTGGGCTGTTATACAGGGTGTTTCAGAACTATGGGATCAAACTTGTAGGGGTTATTCAGTATAACAGTAGAAAACATTTGAGTATAGGGACCCATATCCGGAAAAGTGTCACTACGGTCCTAAGACGGGTTAAAATTTAGAAACACGATGAATTGCCTAAATAGTATTTAATGCATTTAACCTATTGAACGTGGTTTCACCATCAACACCATCTTGGTACTGTTAGATTTCTCGAAAGCCTTTGATATGGTCAATCACCAAATACTACTGAGTAAGTTATCTCATTATGGAATGTCACATATAGTTCGAAGGTTCTTTGAGTCATACTTGCTAAATCGTCAAAAAACAGTGAAAACTGATCAGAGAATTTCCTCCACTGAGCCAGTTCCTTCAGGAGTTCCACAGGGTTCAGTATTAAGTCCCTTACTATATCTGATTTATACGATCGATCTGCACGACTGTTCAGTCCACTGTTGTATGCAAACTTATGCAGATGATACTCAGTTAGTGTTTGGTTTCGATCCACCAAAGGTTGATGAAGTTTCTTTCAAAGTTAATTTAGATTTGGCTAACATCAGTGATTACTGTAACAAACACTGCTTGAAGATCAATCCTAATAAAACTACTGCAACGTTGTACTGTTGAGGAACTCCGTGAAATGAAGCAGAGGATTTGTGTTGTTTTGGATAAGACACTCATCCCTTTTGTGGATTACGCCAAGAATCTCGGTGTTACCCTTGACTTAAATATTAGATTCGATCGGCATGTCTCTTTCTTATCTAGAGTAACGTATATGCGTTTGAAACTCCTCTATTCTAATCGATTCATCCTGAATTTTGAAACCCGAAAAAACCCGCCGAAAGTCTTGTGTTATCTGTTATTTCTTACTCTCTTGTTCTTTATTACCCATGTTTAGACTACGTCCACAAAAGAAAACTCCAGAAAATTCAGAACAGGTGTTGTAGGTTTATTTTTGGATTGCGCAAGTTTAGTCGCGTCTCAGATAAAATCAAAGAACTCAACTGGATGCGAATTGATAAGTTATTTTTATATCTTTTGACCGTCTTCACGCATAAAGTTCTATTATCTAACAGACCAGGTTACCTATAATGCTGTCAAGTATTACAATGCAGTCAACAGTGGCTATCGATCCAAACAGGTTGCTTCTTTTAAGAAATTAATGAAAAGTCAGCTGCTGGAGTCCATTTAGTTCAGTTTTTTTGTGTTCATGTGCTTTTTTGACTATTTTCTACCATTTTTGTTCCAAATTTAAAACTCTCACAATACTATCTGCATTTGTCTCGTGGACTCAATGTTGTCAAGCTTATGAACGTTTTTTTGAATTTTTTTTTGTATTTTATTATTTTGTGCCCATGGTACCCACATTTATCAGGAGATACAATTTATGTAAAATTAAGTACATTATATAAAGACCGGTCTAGACGCTACGTTTTGCACAACCTTTTGTCTGCGCAGTCTTAATATGAAACGAAACCGTTGCAATTTTTAGAACATCTACATGGTGCAGATATATCTGTATATTTCGCTCAGTTTTGTGCGATATCGTCATGGCAGAGGTACTCTGGTCAATTTTTGCATGGTGTCTCGTAAAAAAAAGAAAAAATTGGAACGTCTCAGAAGTACCCGGCGTTTGCAGTTGCATCAATTTCTTTGATTTTTTTCACTAAACTCTCATAAGCATCCCTGTCACTATACTGCTTGAAACGTCGTACTTCTGGAAAGGAATTTTAAACATACTCGTGTGTGGTTTGACTCGGCCAGACGAACGTGGGGGACTTTGAGCCTTCAATACGATGTTACTTTGAAACTCAAATAAACGATTATCTGTTTTCGGAAACTTTTAGCCTGATGAGAATCGCCCATACATCAGACGCGGTAGTTAGGTTTTTGCCTTAGTGGCTGCTTCAGTATAAATAAATACAGGTTGGCCGATATGTAACTGACTGGTTTGTAACTTGAATATTTGTGAAATGAAATAAAATACGTCCATTTTTCCATCTTCATATTTTATTGAAACTTAGAAATTGTGTATGAACAACAATATTAGACAAATGTCCACCTCTAGAAGCCGCGCAAACCTGAGCCCTCTTGATTACGTTTTCCCATCACTATTTGGTAGGTTTCGGGAGGAATATTTTCAATCCCTTCCGTAATATTGTTCTTCGGCTGCTCTACAGTATTTGGTTTGTATTCAAAAATCCCCATAAAAAGGTCAGGGGCCGTTAAATCCACTGACCTTGGTACCCAGTTGTACGTAAGTAAGGTCCAATGACACCTTCTTACCAAAAAACACAAACTGTGAGTTGTCGGTGAATATCGTTATTTTGGGTATTAAGCTGCAATATTGCATGTCTATATTGTCGGAGACTTTCATAGTCACTAGACTGTAGTACTTGGAATTTTGTGCCGCAAATGCAAGTCTTTTTTCAAAATAGTGCGACGAATACCCATTTCTTGGGAACGATGTCTGGTAGACGTTTCAGGGCGCTCCACTACACTTTCACGAACTCTCGATATTTTCCATAGTACGAACAGTTCGGACACGGCCCGACCTTGGCAAGTCTTGAACTTCACCTATTTGTTCAAATTTCCGCACCAGCTGACGAATGGTGTTGACACTGGGCACATTATTTCGACTGAATCGTTGTAACAGTCGACTCAAATAATAAAAACGATTTAACAATACAGACGCGTCGTGTAGCGCTCCATGATGGATTAGACACATGTGCCTTAAGCAACTACTACGTATCAGAAATGGCGCACAAATGAAATCAGTCAGTTATATATTGACCACCCTGTACATTACTAGTTCTTACCGCCGCTGCTGATTGGGCAAGTGTATTTTTTGCAACGTAGGCCGCCTGATGCCCTGCGGCGTCTTGATTGTTAACAGCGGCCTTAGCAGCCCTTGACGAGCCTTCAGCTATGTTCCTGAGGCCGCTACCCTGACTGAATCCCTGCTTTTTTGGGGGAGGTGGAGGTAAGTCCTGAATCTGCTCCTGTTGCTGCTGGATATTCTTCGCGAACTGCACATCATAGTTTGAGATAAGCTCAATCTCGTCAAATGTCAATGCGAAGGGAACTGAAAAATATAAGGTGTGAACGAAAAAAAAAACACTGTCTACTGGAGATACAAAGATTATCGCTGCGCTCCTACCATAGAATATATTGGGCGATTGATTAGTCAAAAAATTGAATTTAAAAGTTCGAGTTTATCGCACTTCTGTTTGTACCGGAAGTCGTACCAGCTTACTTATTTTAAATATAACACTGTATATTATTAATTTTTTGGATTTTACAAGTGATTTTAACTACATTTCATGCACAGTAGAATCCCGATTATCCGAAATAATGTGGACCGGAGAGCTTTCGGATAATCGAAATTTCGGATAAAACAGAAAAAAATATTTAGACTCACAATGTTTTTATTGAAAAAAGTAAATGCGTGTGTTAAGTGAGTACGAGCCCCTTCCCACTTCAGTTGGGCCAAATATTGAAATCTTAGTTTTTTTTTATCAAACACAAATAATAAAAATGTAGCAGAGTGTTACAGGTTTAAAATATTAACAATGAATATTTTGACATATAGTAGAAAACACCAACTTTATCACTCCCTAATCAAATTTGCAGCATAAAAATAACACATGTTGCAATTATAGCATATCAACCTATTTTCATTTCAATGCAAAATAAGTCTACAACGCATAGGTGGCTGTGAAAAATAAAAGCCATGACAATTGTTTTTATTAACCACAGCTGACAGAATACGTTTAAAATAGTTTTGGGTAGTTAAGGTTTTCAAAATGGGTATAGGAAAGGTTATTAGTGAGAAAATTTGGTAACTGATAATTAATTTTTTTAATTCTGGGAAATCAAACTCAGAAATTGCAACTTTGTTAAACTTATCGCGGTACAGTGTGAGAAATGTTGTTAGAAGATATAACGTAACTGGTTCAGTTAATATTAAGCCACGATATGTGAAAAAAAGTAATATCACAAATGCCGACCGAAGAGCATTAAGAAGAATAATCGTGAAAAACAGGCGTGCCAATTATTTACAATTAAGTGCTCTGTGGAGTGACGCTGTTGAAAGGAGAATTTCGAGGTCCACAACTCATAGAGAGGCCCACAAACTGGGGTTTACCACTTGCAAGGTAAGTTTCCTTATAAAAAAGAGTGAAGTAAAAACCCTAAAGTTGCACAACTTGTTTATAGGCCAAAGAAACGCCACTATTAATTCCACTGCAAAAGAAAAATCGGCTTAGATGGGCTAAAGAACATAGTCAATGGACACCTTCAACAATGGTGTGCAATACAATGGAGTGATGAGGCCCGATTCGAAGTTTGTGTTGGTGATAGTCGCAGTTATTCGCAAAAAAATGAAGCATTCCATGTTGACTGTCTGAAGAGAAAAGTGAAATTTCCAGCATCCATTATGGTCTGGGGCAGTATGTCATCAAAAGGAGTAGGAAAACTTCATTTTATTGATGGAAATGTGGATACAAAGAAATATTTGGCAATTTTAGAAGAATCGCTTTTACCAGTGATGGAAGAATGTTTGACATCCGGCTAAGATTTTATGTTTCAGCAAGATGGTGCAGCGTGCCATATCTCAAAAAAGGCTATAAAATGGATGGAAGAAAATAATGTACCACTTTTGAAATGGGTTTCTAGCAGTCCAGATCTGTCACCTATTGGCACGAGATGAGAAAGGTTCTACGACAACATCCTGCTCGTAATCACCGAACTGAGACAAAAGTTTCAAGAAATATGGGATTGTTTTACACCAAATTTTGCCAAAACTTGGTTAACACTATGCCCCAAAGAATTTCAACCCTAATAAACAAGAAAGGTGATGTTACCCAATGGTAATCTTTCAATTTTTGCTTTGTTAACTTCGCGCATTTATTCGCACATTGTTTATTTGTTCAGATGTTCTATTAGTTATAGGTCTAAGTGATTTCAAATATGTATTTTTTACGACTAGAGCGTATCAAAAATGTTTTAGAAGTAAATGGTTTGTCATGTTTAGTTTATAAGGCATATTTTGGTACAAATCTTGAAGTGGGCCAACTGAAGTGGGAAGACGCTCGTATATACCTATATAAAGTTACGTAAAATATAAACATGTGGATACAAACATACATATTTACGAGTATTTAGTGACCAAGGAAGTAATTTTTAACTGTTCACGTTTTTTTCGCATTTTTTTGTTGTTCGACGTAAGTCAACGCATTTTGTAGAGCTTCTAATCCCTCAGAATGTGATATTTTGGAAGAGATTTCTGTAATCATTGTCACTAGCATCACTTGAAACTGTCTCATCGCCATTGTTACAAACAGTTTTTATTTGTTCTGTTCTGTATCAGTTAATTCTTCCACCAATTCATCAGAATTAATCATCTCACCAACATCTGCTGGGGCAAGATTTTCACACCCTGCTATTGTTATTCTCATAGTCTGGGCAAGTTTCCATTTCTTGCATAATGATTGTTGACCAAGGTTTTTGTAAAGTAAAATTTTTTACTTGGATCCATGCTGCGGCTATCCAATATGCCACATTCTTGAGGTTAATCTCTATTGAACAATCAACGAGGTTACAACCATTGTCAACTTGATCTAACAGTTGCTCTAATAACAAACATCTGTAATTGCGTTTTAAATTTTCTAAAACGCCTTGATCCATTGGCTGAATCAGTGACGTTACATTAGGAGACAAAAACATCACTCGTATTCCTCCATTTTTAAGTTGCTCCTCACTTGTGTGGCTCAGAGCATTGTCTAATAGCAAAATATATATTTAATATTGTTCGGCCTTGGGAATAAAATGATGGTAAAACCTGTCCCTAAATAGAGCGGCATCCACCAAGACCAAGGCATTTTTTTGCTTTTTATACCACACTGGAAGAGCGCTGGGACGGACGTGTTTAAATGCTCTTGGTTTAGCAGGGAAGGAAGAAAGTTTGTGTGTACCGGAAGCATTGCTACAAGCAAGGATTTAAACAGAGAAATTGTTGCATGCGATCTGTTTCGGATTTCGGATAATCGCGATTCGGATAATCGGGGTTCTACTGTATATTAGTAAATACCTAAGTTTCAAATTTTACTTAAAAAATGACAAATGTGTACCAGTGAATTGAAGACACAAGTGGATAGAGGTGTCATGTAACATTTTTAAAAAAATTGCCTTTTTGCATTAGTGTGATTCTTTCATTCTGTGATTACTTTGTTGCAAAAACAAAATAATAACATACTAATTAAACTGAACATGAACATCTAAAAGCTCAATAAAGTAAAAAGTTTCAATAAAAAATGTCAATTTTCTCCATACAGTGGATTTTGTGGCACCTATATCCACTTGTGTCTTGAATTATAAGAATGTTTTCTTGTATTTTTCTCCTTGCCATATGATTTGTAGCGGCTTCTTATAGTAGAGGAAATTCTTTAATAGAATTGCCGGAAGCTGCCATGTCGAGTGGCTGACGCTGCGTAGTCGGAGTGGACTCATTCAGTCATTTCTAAAATTTTCGAGCTTTTCAATCAACTTGACATTTTCATGGCTCAGTATCTTTATCATAAAAATGTCAAATACTCTTCAACAGCTTATTTTGATTCAAATTCAACTATCTCAAAGTGAGTCACCCTAAATAGTAATTTTTCTCCACAAATGTTCGTTAAAATGGAATGTTATTGATCGTTTTGAATTTTCCGAAAAAATGTTGTGCTGCCATTTGTTCAAAAGCCTCAAGGTTTTCAAGATATACAGCAATAATTTTTTTAACAGAAATCGCCACTCATCCAGTTAAATTCTTGACATTTCTACAAATATCAATTTTTTAAGAGATCGGGATTTTCTGACAGCTACGGGTGTGTCCTCATCACCAAAGAACCAATCTCTATTTTGAGCTTTGGTCGGCACATCGTAATAATAGAGCCAAGAGCCGAGATTGCCCCTTATCAAACATTTTCAGCCTATTTCGGCACCAAGTCGTATGACGAGTCTTCTGCCTTACCCAAAGAGAACAAATATTCCTTACGTGAAAGTGGTCACGCAGAATTGAATGATATGCTGGTGCATGAAGGTGTCAGGTCTCCTCTATCTGTTGGTATGTCACTCTCCGGTCTTCGTCAAGCGTCCTCCAGTGAAATTGCCCCTTTGGAATTCTCTGTACCACCTGAATTTAGTCGTACGATGAGGACAATCACTACGTCACCACGATGCCATAGTCCGGACTGTACGCTGTCAATACGAATGAACAACTAAATCGGCAGTCGTGCTGCTGGCGGCTACTATGCACTCATGGACATGTCTCAACATGCAGTAGCATGCAGCTCCCTGCGTCCGTTTGTTAAGTTACATTGCAAAAATTGTATAGTACCCTATATTCCTTCTTATCGCATCACTGTTGTATGTAAATACGACAAAATGATAGGCCGCTGGGCGAGCTGCAATGTGTGACCCTGTCTAAAATCTCAAATTTCCTATTCTTCTTCCCTACTAGATTCGTGTTTCTTTGATGCTTTCTATACGAAAAGGTTTCGGATATATCATTCTTAGTATTTATAACTTCAAGCGTATGAGTAAATTCAAAGAAAGACAAGCAGTCTTGCAGAAACGTAGAAGACAAGGGACAATCATGAGCTTGTTGGTGGTTTTTTTAATAATAGTAATGTCTTTATTAGCTGCAGTGAGGCGAAGTTTAGCCAAACGGCTACTCTTACACCCAACCCCACAACAGGAAAAAATACTTAAACACATAAACAAAATAATAACATACCAAAAAAATACAGTTCATAAGAATGACAACATTGACTGCACGAGACAAATGCAGATAGTATTGTGAGAGTTTTAAATATGAAACAAAAATAGTAGAAAATAGTCAAAAAAAGTACATGAACACAAGAAAAAGTGAACTAAATGAACTCCAGCAGCTGACTTTTAATTAATTTCTTAAAAGAAGCAACCTGTTTAGATCGATAGCCACTGTTGACTGCATCGTAATGCTTGACAGCATTATATACTAAGTGACATATAAATCCGAACACCCAGTTTAAATGGTTTTATTTTAATAAAAGTTGGTGAATGTATTTATCTTACTGTAAATAACAGGTGAAAAAATGTTCAGCCTTATCAGTTGGACATTCCGGTTTTTATACTGCTTTTTTTTAATTCACTAACGCTCTAAAAATGAATATTTCAGCCGCAGTAAAGAATCAACGTTGGCGGATTTTGGTTCTTGACATCCTTTACGATCGGTTACGATGCCTAGAGTACGGAGACCTGTACGATTTCGTCAACTTAGTGAGTTTGATAGGGGCCGTATAGTGGGTCTTTCTTTTCGGGCAATTGCAGTTAGAGTGCAAAGAAGTGTAGACACTGTGGTTAGGTGTTGTCAGGCATGGCTTCGAGAAGGCCGTACGCAAAGAGCAAGGGGCACTGGACGCCGCCGTAGAACAACAGACCGTGAAGATCGCCGCCTAAGATTATTGGCCTTAAGGGACCGTTTCTCCACTACCAGGTCCATTGCAAATGAATGGTTTGCAGAACACGGAAGACCTATTGGCATGCGAAGTGTTTACCGACGAATGAGAAGTTTTGGCTTGTTTTCATACCGGCCACACTGGGTCCTCCCTTTAACTCGAGAACACCGACGTAATCGCCTTGAGTGGTGCATACAACGGTCACTCTGGGATCAGGAATGGAACAGTATTGTCTTTAGTGACGAGTCTCGATTTTGTTTAGGCATGCACGATGGTCGTGCCAGGGTTAGAAGGCGACGTGGTGAAAGGAGGAATCCACAGTTTTTTATTGAAAGACATGTTCATCACACTGTTGGAGTTATGGTTTAGGGTGCTATAGCTTATGGTTCCAGGTCACCTTTAATCTTCATCAGAGGTAACATGAACGCGCAGTGTTATATCCACGAAGTTCTTGACACCCTGGCAGATCCAACTTTCCAACAAGATAATGCCCGACCACATGTTGCAAGAGTCACAATAGACTTCTTTCAACATAATGATGTTACATTGTTACCATGGCCATCAAGATCTCCCGACTTATCCCCAACTGAGCACGTGTGGGATATGATGGGTAGGAGATTGCTCAATTTGCAACGTCCTCCTCAGACACTAGAAGCACTTCGAGAGGAGTTAGTGGTTGCCTGGAATGAGATACCACAGGAGGACATTGACCACCTGATCAGAAGCAAGCCTAGGCGCGTTGGAGAATGCGTAGCACATCAGGGTGCATCCACACCTTATTAAAGGTCAAAGGGCTTTAAAGCAGTGCAATCATTTTGAAATTTTTATCATTTACTTATTATGCTTCATTAAGTACTTATACAAAATTTTATTAGAATAAAACCATTTAAACTGGGTGTTCGGATTTATATGTCACTTAGTATAGATGTAACTTCTTTCAAAGACCGAGGTATTGTGAGGAGGCATGTTAAAATTAGCATTAAATCTAAGAGCTCTGGTAACAAAACTACCACGGTGAACTAATTTGCTAGCGAGGTAAGCTGGTCTGTTGGATAATAGAACTTTATGCGTGAAGACGGTCAAAAGATATAAAAATAACTTATCAATTCGCAAATAGTTGAGTTCTTTGATTTTATCTGAGACGCGACTAAACTTGCGCAATTCAAAAATAAACCTACAACAGCTGTTCTGAATTTACTGGAGTTTCCTTTTGTGGACGTAGTCTAAACATGGGTAATAAAGAACAAGAGAGTAAGAAATGACAGACAACACAAGACTTTCGGCGAGCTTTTTTCGGGTTTTAAAATTCAGGATGAATCGATTAGAATAGAGGAGTTTCAAACGCATATACGTTACTCTAGATAAGAAAGAGACATGCAATCTCATTTCTAAGTCAAGGGTAACACCGAGATTTTTGGCGTAATCCACAAAAGGGATGAGTGTCTTATCCAAAACAACACAAATCCTCTGCTTCATTTCACGCTAGAAGTTCTTCAAACAGTACAACGTTGCAGTAGTTTTATTAGGATTGATCTTCAAGCAGTGTTTGTTACAGTAATCACTGATGTTAGCCAAATCTAAATTAACTTTAAAAGAAACTTCATCAACCTTTGATAGATCGAAACCAACCACTAACTGAGTATCATCTGCATAAGTTTGCATACTACAGTGGACTAAACAGTCTTGCAGATCGATCGTATAAATCAGATATAGTAAGGGACCTAATACTGAGCCCTGTGCAGCTCCTGAAGAAACTGGCTCAGTGGAGGAAATTCCCTGATCAGTTTTCACTGTTTGTTGGCGATTTAGTAAGTATGACTCAAAGAACCTTAGAACTATATCTGACATTCCATAATGAGATACTCAGTAGTATCTGGTGATTGACCATATCAAAGGCTTTCGAGAAATCTAACAGTACCAAGACGGTGTTGATGTGATTATCTAAATTGTGAATGATGGAATCAGTAAGATGTAATAAAGTCGAAGTAGAGCTGCAACCAGCTCTGAAACCTGACTGATGTAGAGGAAATAAGTGAATTTGTTCGAGAAACTCCACTAGTTGTGGGTAGACAGCTCTTTCGAGTATTTCTGATAGAAAGCATAATAAGGTGATTGGCCTGAGATCGGAATATAGTTCTGGATGATTAGTTTTAGCTATTGGAATAATAATACCATTTTTCCAACTGGCAGGAAAGTAACCTGTTTCGAGACAAACATTAATAATGCGAGTTCTAGTTGTATTTCCATTTCCATCCTTGTTTTCCTTCAGATTACACGTCTACAGATGTGATGGGAATATGTTTTCGCTTCGGTGTTTTCGACGTACGTCCATTTGGGCCTAATGAGGCTAATAAGCAGAAACGTACGTCGCTCGGGTTACCAATCCTTCTATTTCTGCTCCTGTACCTGCGGACATTCTCACAATAACTGTCTTTTGTTTTTCATCTAAGTTTCCGCAAGACTACTTGCCTTTCTTTGTTAGTGCAGGGTGTATGAGTTAGTTAAGTTAGTTAAAACAACACTGAAACTAATAAGGCAAAAAAATGATATTTGTAGGAATGGCACGAGTTTGGATTTTTGCTAAACAAATGTCAGCTGTATATCTCGAAAACCAAACAGTAGACAGTATATTTCAACTTTCGGGCGACCTGTACAGACATATGTTAGAGAGCGTAAATGACAACACTGGTTAGGCTTGAACCTTAACCAAACCCATACCCATTTACGTTGATTTACATTTAAAAAACGTGTGCTTACTTACCGACACTGAGGCCAAGAAGCAAGACTAACATGTCCAAAGCTGAAAAAATATATAGGATCATGAGTTCTGCAGTTTGCATGGTCCTCAAACTTATTTTCATTATTAATTTTGGAAATATATTGGAATCACGGTAAAGCTTCAGTTTCTAGAAATTTAAATAAAAATGAAATAATATATATTTGTTTAAAAAAATCCGAATGCGCCGTTACAGGTATTTTTAAGTAAATAAGGAATAAGCAGAAATAAAAAAATATGAATGAATGACCTTATTGTCTGTTTTGATTCGTTTTGAGGAAGAAACAAAACATATCAGATCATCACAGTCACGGACAATCACAACATCTATAGCCAAGAGAAACATTTCTCCTGGGAGGGGATTCGAACCTGCACAGCGCACGGCTACTGATCAGGAGACCGAAGAGTCTATTACTGCGGCCACCGCTGCTGCCTAACATGTTTTTTGAAATGAGAAATCTGCAATGGGATCGAATAAACTGCTTTCAGCAAAAACAATGATCAAAGCTCAAAGAAACAACATCTCCCGGAACAATGAATAACTAGCCACAGTTCCTAATATATTTCTGTAGTTCAGAGGTAAACAGTCGTAAGTCGAAACTGACACAGTTTTGAGCTTATGTTACTATTAAAATGCACTAGTTTAGCTTCATATTATAGCAAAAAATCATAAGCAACATAATGTTGGTAGTCAATATATTCAATTTTGAAAATCTAATGTTTGCATTTAAACTTTGCTGAAATGTTTAGTTCTTTTGCTAATTACTCAAAACTATGAGCAACAGATTTGCATTTAGAGGTGTCTAGGACATGAGTCAAAGGGCCGCTAAAAGATTCCTAAGGCAAGAAGGGCATTGGGAAATGAGGGTGTCTATAAAAACATACCTAAGCAAAGAGTGGTGAATATTTTATACACTATGGAACCTCTAGATGACAGTATCATACCGAGTGCGCCATCTTTTATGTCGGTATTGAAGCATCGAATGACTTTGATATTTACCAACCGAGTGATTTGGTGTTTCTGAAACTTCAATTTACTACAATTTTCTTGAGTACGGGACAGTGGGAGACCGTCAACATCCAAGACGTTCCAATGGATTGATTGAAGCGGTCAGAGACAGCATTGCCCATTGCAGCAGCGGTGGCCAGGCAGCAGCGGTGGCCGCAGTAGTAGACTCTTCGGTCTCCTGATCAGTCGCCGTGCGCCGTGCGGGTTCGAGTCCCGTCCCGGGAGAAATTTTTCTCTTGGCTATGGGTGCTTAGGCCTTAGGCCTTCGTGGTAGTTGAAGTATAAAAAAAAAGAACCCAAAAGTGTCGTATCGTCACCGCGCTCAGCATTTTGGCATCAGTTGAACCACGTTGCGGCGCATTTTGAAGGATAATTTTCACTTGTTTCCTTATAAGGTGCAGTTAACACAACAAATATTGCCAACTGACCGTCCACGTCGTTTGGGATACGCTCGCATGGTTGATGCTGAACCTGATTTTTGGAAGCAAATTGTGATGGCCGACGAGGCCCATTTCACGCTCTCTGGCGGCGTTAATAAGCCAAACTGCCGCATTTGGGGGACGTAAAATCCACGTGAGATCTACGAAATGCCCTTGCATGACCGGAAAGTGACTGTTTGGACCGGCCAAAACCAACATTGGGCCATTTTTCTCCAACGAAAACGAAACAGTCGATGGAAATCGATATCGTTGGATGTTGGCTCATTATCTGTGCCCACAAATGCGTAAAAAAGGTCTTGATGGTTACTGGTTTCAACAAGACGGTGCACCACGTCACACTGAAAATGAAACAATCCAGTTTCTGCAACGAAAATTCCCTGGACGTCTAATGTCAAAAAGAGGTGACTTTGACTGGCCACCCAGGTCTCCAGATTTGACCCCACCAGACTTCTTCTTGTGGGGTTATTTGAAAAGTGAAGTGTACGCCAGCAAGCCCCAGACCGTTGAAGAACTCAAGGCAAACATTCGTACCGCAATCGTCGTTATACCGCCAGAGATGCTCGAAAAAGTACTGGAAAACGGGCACATTTTATTTTGGCCAATAAAGGTGGCGACTTGATAGATGTTGTGTTCACCAACTAGTTCCAATAAATTGTAAAGGACCAAATTTAATAAAAATACCCGATATATAGAAATCAGTTTTTCGTTTTCAAAATTATTTCATGTTTACATACCGACGTAAAAGATGGCGCACCCTGTACAAATCGCTTGGAAAATGTTTGTCATCTGATTTTAAATTTGGTTTTTAAGTTAAATCTTCCTAATTTGAAAACGCTGAACATTGATTATGAAAAACGTGTTATGAAAAATGACACTTTCTCTCAATATTATCAGTGACGTAAAAATTTACTCTCTGTATCATGAAATAGGCTTCAGGGTCGTATGTTTTTGTGATACTTTGCACTGCTTCCTGTGCCGGAAATATTTATTGCACTTTATTTTTGTCAAAACATCTGGCAGATCGAATGACAAGACGAGCTCTGAATGACGTTATTGCAAAAACGTTTCACTTTTTACTGAGCGATGTTTGTGACAACTCTGTTTGATCTCACACCTGCTTACAATATCATAATGAATCTTTATTACAAGTAAACCAAAACCTTGTATTTTCATGTAACTGGCATTTTTTTAATGTTTTTAACGACATCCATATGACGTAACTTTTTCATAACCAAATTATGCCGAATTTGTATAAAATTGTTCTCTGGACATTCTCCTGTCATTTTTATAGGGCTATGCTCCTTTAGCTGAAAGATTACGTTTTGCGAGCGGACTTTGGCCTTTCTACTTATGAGATCTAAATAATAAATATCAGAACTAAATTTGTTGGGCTAACAAAGAGTTTAACCCACATTTGAGTAGAACATCAATTTCGATATAAACACACCATGGAGTAGGTCTGAGGTTGATTTGTTTTACAAGTCACTGTCAGATATCGCTTTTCTAAAGGGGATTATTGAAGAACCACGATATTTCACACATTTTCCCGTCAAGAAACCTATAAGCCACTTAAATTCTAGAATCGACTTCAAACGAAAATTGCTCACTGAAAGGCGAAGGCCGTTCTGGATCCAGTGCAAACACGGCAATTTGAAGGAAAGATAATAGGTATCATCCGCCTGATAATAGTAGTCCCTATAGTGTCTCTAAACGAGGGAAGATTTTTCTATAATTTTTTTAAGTTTTTTATTCAGGTCGGCTATCGTAGAGCGCAATTAACTTTAATACCTGTCAAAGGTAAATAGCTTCTCCAGCAAATAATATTATATAATATATTATTTTTTTTCGAAATGGAAAACGAATCTCTCCATATAAGGGGTCCGTCAACTTCAATGGAGTTGCAAGTCTAAAAATGAACATGTTTTTTTGAACATACATAGAGTACAACTTTTTGTTGCCATACGACACCAAACTAAAATATTTTCACCAATTTCACGGAAATGCGTCGTATTTTGTAGGTTCTGTCGACCCTAAATCATAGTAACCCCAAATTTACACCTGTTATAGCAATTCACTCGAAATCAGACAAAAAACTTGATTCGAGGATTAACATAAAACTTAAGACCTCGGAATAAAATCAATGCGATCGAGGTCCCTTTAGTTCATTCATATTAGCAAATTTCCCTGAAATAATTGTAAATTCAGGTTTTATTGGTGGGGGTATTTAAAAGTGGACACATAAAATGGGTACACCAATTTTTGTGGGAAAACTTTTTATTTAACATCAAAGAATGGGAAAACGTGTTTTTGGGATGCAATCGAAAGTGTTGACAGGAACGAAAAAACTTTTCGAATAAGATTTTTAGGTATTTATCAGAACTACAAAATGAGACCACACGTAAGAAGATCCGACTAATAGCAGAAAAGTTATGGTAAAAAAACGAGGCAAAATGCAGTTTTTGTAACTTGTTGGTAATGCGACGATAATTTCACTCACCTACTTGAAATCATTCTAATCCGTAGGATTCATACTTCTAAATAACAACAATAAAATTAGAGTATATGGAGTATTTTTTGAGAATTTCTAATTGCTTATCCCAAAACACCTGTTTTACAGCCATCGCTACTAGTTAATTGAGCATTATACAGGGTTCGTTCAAAGAGCATTTAATAGCAAAATACACGTCTTTACCTTGCCGATATGAATCACAAACCATCCCGAAAGATAAATGTTATTTGTATGAGAAAAACAAAGGTTGCGTTTTTTTCTTCTAAACGAATTCAAACATTTCGTGTTTGTGAGTAATTGAACAAATGCGCAACGATATTTGAAAAACATACACATTTTAAAACACAGCGGATGTGTCTGTCATCTTTTGTTGCGAATTGCTCACAAATACGACATGTTTGAATTTGTTTAGAAGAAAAAACGTAACCCATCCTTCTTGCATAAAAATAACATTTATCTAAACTAGTGTATTTTACTATGAAATGCCCTTTGAACTAACCCTGTGTATTGCTCAATAAACTAGTAGGGTTGGCCGCAAAACAAGTGTTTTGGGATAAACAATTCGAAATTCTCAAAAAATACTTGACCAATCTACTCGAATTTTGTTGTGGTTATCCAGAAGTACGAATCCTACGAATTTAAAGAATTTAAAAAATTTGCGAGAAACCATTGTCGCATTACCAACAAGTTCCAAACCCTGCAGTTTGCCTAGGTTTTCGGTCACAATCAGGGTTCCGTCCGGCGCATAACTGTGCAACAGCATTGCTGGGAGTGGTGGATGATGTATACGTATTATGTAGTGCTGACAAATGTAACCTGACTGCCTTGGTGCTCTTAGATTATACGAAGGCATTTGAGAGGATACATCATGAAATACTCTTAGCCATGCTCCACTGTTACGGATTCTCGGCCGATGCAGAGTCTCCAATGCTACTTCAGCGATCGTCAACAGCAGGTAATGCTGAATGATAAGTACTCCACGCCATTGAAAGTGTTTCTCAGGGCTCTATTCTGGGTCCGCTAATGTTCATTATTTACATCTCTAATCTATACTTCAGTCTTCACTCTTGTAAAGCTCATTTTTATGCAGATGATACACAAGTGTACTTATCATTTCCTCCAGCTCAAACATTGTTATTCGGGCCGAAAAATTGGAGAGACCGTTGTGAACCTCTGGTGAAAATAAACCTCGATAACAATACTTTAGAAATAAGCTCGATAGCGCGTAATTTAGGCTTATACCTTGACAAAAACTTAAGGTTTGAGGATAATGTTAAGAAGTGCTCCAGAAGGGCGTATTGTAATTTAACGATATACGGTCAGAAATCTTACATGAACCCAAAAACTAAAGTCATATTATGCAATTCTCTTGTTCTGTCGCATTTTAACTTCTGTGATGTCGTCTATGACAAATGTTTAACTAAATTCACCTCTGATAAAATACAACGCGTGCAAAATTCTTGTCTGAGACTTATTTTTGGTTTAAGAAAATACGATTCTGTTTCATCAAAGCTTACTGATGCTGGCTGAACATGAAGCAACCCAGGCTGCTTCATAACCTCGTACAGTACCATAAGATTATTATACATAAACTACCATCCTACTTACACGAAAAAATTCATTTCCGTTAGTTAGCTCACAATCGCAATACCCGCAACAAAACAAAACTGACACCGCCTTTTCATTCTACAACCTTATTCGAAAGATCTTTTTCGTATAATATCAGTAAACTTTATAATAATATCCCGCGAGAGTATACTTCTCCCACTATATATATGTTCATATAAAACTGGTTTTGCAACTTGTTTTGTTCTTTCTTTTGTGGGAATAAAGATATTATTATTATTATTATAACTTATTTGCTATTAGTCGGATCTTTTCACGCGTGGTCTCATTTTGTAGGTCTCATAAATACCTAAAAATCTTGTATCAATTCTTTCGTTCCTGCCAACACTTTCAATTGAATCCCAAAAAACGTGTATTCTCATTATTTGTTGTCGAATAAAAAGTTTTCCCACAAAAATTGGTGTACCCATTTTACGCGTCCATTTTTTGAATACCCCCTTGAAAAACTTGCAGCAATAAAAATAATCTTTACAATTATTTCTCAAACTAGGGGTATTTTCGTCTAATATCATTAGACTACTTGTTGTTCCAAGCCCTTCGTGAGTTTTTTTTAAATGGCACTTCCTAGATGTATCATACTTTTGCAAATACTGTGAGCCAATACACAATATATTCTTTACAAAGTCGCAGTGACTACAGCTATACAAACATTTCGGCTTGTTATTCGATCAGCTAGGATGTTCGCTCTATTATTTTGTTTTTATGGTAGGATATTTTTCCATCACAAATTCCACTGGCCACCTCATATACCCAGTGAAGCTCACATATTCCATCACAGATGCGTCAAGACATCACATGAAACACACACCTAAGCACATATCACAATATATCCATGCGGTAATCACAGAGCACCTACCAAGTCAATATAACAGTATCGTGAATACAAGGCACAAGCAGAGGACTGTTAATATTTACCTATAATCTGAATTTTATACTTCAATGCAAGAAAAAGAGGGGCAGCAAGGAAAGTGATAAATCTATAACCAATAGAAATGAATTTTAATCGACTTTTTAGCAGCCGCGAAGTGTAAAGTATCGAATTGATTGCAACGCGTTTTTATTCCAAGAATTTACGTCTTTCTCTGAACTAGCTCGTGTGTACTACATATGTAACTTATGGTGCTTCAGAGGGCATAGGGATTCTACGATTACACTTGACTTGATTTTCAAGCTACATATTTAGCTCGACTTCAAATCAAGTCAAGTCTAAGATTTAGCAATTTGATATCAAGTCAAGAAGTTTTTACGCCTATCGCCAAGTTCTTGAAAATTCAAGTAGTCTTGTTGTTACTGATAAGTTTTGTAATATAAGTAGGAGAAAATTATAAAGGGTGATTCAAATTGGGTTTCCACATTAAAAGTATTTAAAAAAAGGAAGAAATTGAAAATTATAAAAAAGTATGTATTTGTCCTTTCAGGGCAGTTCATTACAATTATGCATGAAAGATGATATCAAGTAAATGAACGCTGCGGCTCATGTGGCATGACTAGGGATGCAAACTTTTTGTAAATATCGATATATCGATATCGATATATATCGAATTAAATCGATATCGATATATCGGTATATTAAGCCGATATATCGCTATTTCATATTTTTTTGGAAGCTTACAGAAATTAGAAATTCAATTTTGTTTCAGTTATATCAAACAGTTATCGATTATGTATGTATATAAATTTTTATACTTATGTATTTGAAGTGAAACAAAATTCGGATAGGTGTATAAAATGTGTTTTTCTTTCCATACATTTATTTGGGAAAATTAATTCCAGTATTTTGTACTAGCTATTGAACTTAAAAATAGTAACTTTGACAGTCTGCTTCCTTGTAGCCGGTTTCTGCTCTGAGTTATAGTGGCTCCTGCTTTTGAAAAAATACGTTCGGGAGGAACGTTTGTTGCCACAATTGGTAGATGACTCATTGCCACTTTAAAAGGATTGGGATATACACCTTGCATTTCTTGCCATATTTCAATAATGTTTACTTTTAGAGTATTCACAGGAGCAGAAAGATATAACGTGAGCTCGTCGTCACCGTCAGTTTTTTTCTTTTTATTTGCGTGTGAGCCAAAGATTTATGGCACTTTTATCTTCATCCTCTGAAGATGGTGATGAACCTGTTGCGGCTGCGGCTGCAGATTTATATTCTGAAATTAAATTTCTAATTTTTGAAATCGCTTTTGCACATGCGTCAGGTTTCTTAAAAGGCAAGTTTTTGAAACGAGGGTCTAGCAATGTCGAAACTGCTATTAACATATTGTATTCCAACTGGCCAAAACGCTTCTCCATTTCCAGAGTAATATTTTTCTTCCAGTCGCCGGCAATGCTTGAAGTGATCCTCGATTCATTGTATTGGTCAATTGCACAACTCATCATAGGCACAACTTTTGAAATAGTGGCATAATGTTCGGCAGAAGCCTCTCTTGTTATAGCTTCCAGTGGTCGCAGAACATCTTTGCGTTTTACCCGATTTTGTAGCTATTTTAATTTGGGTGGATTTTTCGATATTTTGATACGATATAATTAATTTTTCGATATCGATATATCGTGTTATTGGGTGTAACTTCAAATCTGTTGTTAAAATCCACTGTGTAGTGGAATAAGTAAGGTCCAGTTGCTGCGATCGATGACAAATCGAGGTTCTTGGATTTTCGGCCACACTTTCGGCAACAATAGCAATATTGTGTTCCGACTGACCTCTACGAGTACGCCTAGAGGTTTTAGTGTTAGCGACGGACCCAGTTTGCTCGAATTTTTGCACCAAATTCCAAACTGTCCTCTCACAAGGCCGATTTTGTGCGCCAAAGAATTCACGTAAAGCACGAAATGTATGCTTCCTTGATCGGCCGTTTTCATTATAGGCTTGTATAATTTTAACACGTTGTTCGGTCGTATATTGCTTCATGACTGTTTTGTTTATATTTTGACGTTAGAAATGACACGTTGTCGTTGACAAATTCAGTGGCGTTTCAAACAAAAAGTTATTTGTAATGTGGAAACTCAATTTGAATCACCCATTAAGGTTCAAAGAAAACAGTACATACTGAACAAAATAATGTATTCATCGTATAACAAATAATATAACGGTAAAACTGTAAGCTCAAGTAGAAACAAAATTTCTTCATCAGCTGATACAAAAAAATTAAAAATTCTATATTAGTCTTTCATTCGCTAATCAGGAGTCAATACACATGAAGTCTTAACAGATTTATAACGGTAGTAAAATTGAAAATACAAATAACAACTGACCGGATTTTGAACATCACCCCTATGTCATAACAAGTATTTTAAGTTGTGCCTTTTATGCAATATGTACAGGGTGTTTTCGAAAGTTGAGTCATTTACATTAACTGCTTGTAGGACTAGGATCTTAGTGCTTTTTTACTATTGTGATCGTTTGTCTAAGTTTGGCAAACTTTTTGTTTTATTGTATGATTTCCAGGACGAGTCTTTGTTTCGATCAGTTTTACCAGTCTTTTAATAGTGTGTATACCTTCATTTGTTTAATTATTTTGTGCGTCCATGTTTGCGAAAACAATGAACTCCCCATTCGCAGTCCATTTAGGCCCAGACAAAACAGAACATGCCCAAAAGCGAGACTGTACAGGTCCGAATTTTCCTCAATGGTCTTGGAATAATCTAACAAAAAAAAGATTATTTTTATAGAACGAAGTGCACATACTTTGCACAATTCTTTATTCGCTGGAATTACTTGAATCATCGTCCGAATGGTTAATATTAATTATTACAGGTTCAATTTGAATATTCATCATATTGTCCAGATCCCACATCTTTGTTTCGATTGTCTCTTGAACGTGACGGATGCAATATTTCCAATGTTGTTGACAGCTTCATAAAACAAATTTTTCACGTCAGAAAATTTGAATGTTCTCTTGTTTGAAGCCACATAGCATTATCAAGTACAATGACGGCCTTGTCATCAAGCTTTGGGAACGTTTCCTCAAACCTTGGTTCAAATGAACTCCCGTCCATTTCTTCATGACAGTCGGTCATTTTCTTTGACTCAAATGCCCATAGGACAAAGTCAATATGACAGATGACAAATTGTTTTCCTTTTCCTGGAAATAATTATTTCATATAGTATTCAAGAAAACTAATAATAATACAAGCAGAGTATAATGATCATGCTTTTAACTTTTAAAAACTATACAGGGCGTAGAAGGAAAGGGACAACACATTCTATGTTAAACAGATCTAGCCACACTTTTGTTATCAATATTGCTTTTATACAGAGTGGCGCATCGAAAACGAAACAGACGCATTTACTGGCAGCTCAGTTTTTTTTAAAAAACACTCAGACCCGTCGATTTTGTTTTCGAAGGGGACGCAAGTTTGGCAAAAAATCACGTTAGCACGTGTAGCCCCCTAAGCGGGGGTGACACCACCCCCAAAAAATTAAATGGAAACGGGGGTCGAGTGATACCTTATTTTAAATGTCTTTCAATTCCCTTTATAATGATATAAAATTAATATACTTCAGTACAGTAGCTTTGAAGATTTGATAATTTAAAGATTAAATAAAACTAATACATCATCATTAGTGGAAATCAATACATTTGGCATCAAAGTAATTTAAAAATGAAGAATGAACTGACCCGTTAGGCAAGTAAATGTTGAAAATGGCCATGACTCTCCATGCAATAATGAAGATTTTGCTCCAAACGTTGCCGCACATTTTGCAATATTTGAGGAGTAATTTGAAGGCACTCATTCACAATTCTTTGTCGCAGGTCTTCTAATGATGTTGGCTGAGTAGCATAGATTTTGCTTTATAAATGACCCCACATAAAGAAATCCAAAGGTGATAAATCTGGCGATCTTGGGGGCCATTCAATGGCATCTCTTCTAACAATCCATCGATCTGGAAACGTCTGATCTAAATATTGTCGAACATTTAATGGGTAATGTGGTGGGGCACCATCCTGTTGGAACATCAACCTATTCGCAATGTACCGCCACTCATTCTGATTTTCAATTATAGCTGTTAATGCAGGATCTATGGCGTCTTCCAGTAATTCCAAATACATTTCACCGGTCAAATTTCCAGGTAAGAAAAAATTACCAACTAAATGACGACAAAAATACCAGCCCAAACATTTAATTTTTGTGGCTGCTGTGTATGAACCTCATGATAAATTCTGGGATTAGAATCGGACCAATATCGGCAGTTATGACGATTTACTACGCCATTTAAGAAAAAGGAACATTCGTCTGAAAAGCAAGTGTTGAATAGAAAATGTTCATCGTTTATAATTCGTTCACTCATATCTTCACAAAATTGTAATCGCCGATCAAAATCGTCTTCATTAAGTTCTTGTACCAGGTGAATTTTATACGGATGAAAACTATGGGCCTTTAGAATCCGTTGGACAGTACGTCGACTAACACCACACACAGTCTCCAATGTGCGGGTACTTAACGTAGGATCTACATAAACTTGCCCTAAAACCCCCACTTCTATTGCTTCGTTCTTTATGTGATTTTCAATGTTGCGTTTTTTATTGGCTGACCCAGTTTCCCGAAATTTAGCTACAAGTTCTAGAACATATTTTCGATGCACGTTACTGTTCTCATGTCGCTCATTAAATATTTCTGCTGTTCTATTAGCGCACTGATTATTTCCGAAAAATATTTCGATAATTTCAACTCTTTCTGCTGTGGAATATACCATGGTTAATTTATGTAACAAAGCGTTACAAGTTATTTTAGCAACAAAGTTTGGTCAAATCAGTCGCAAACTATGTACTAAATTCCTATTTAAAATAAGTATGAGATATTTCCTTATCTTTCTTCAAGAAATAACTTTTTTTGCCACAAAAAATGCTCCAATAGCTATTTTCAACAACAAAATGATAAACAAACCATGGG